AAAACCAAACGAATTTCGCCACCTCCGTTTTCCTTTCTTTCTTTTTTTTTTCCCACGCCGCCTACACACACAACGTCGACTATCAACTATGAAATAATAATTATAGTAATAATAATAATAAAGTAATAAAAAAAAAATTAAATTAAAACGATAAAAAATAAAAGGAAAAACAAAAAAAAAAAACATCTCGTATTCACATCTATATTACAATCTAGATAATTTAGGACAGGGCAGAAGAAAAGTAAAAGAAAATTTTCAAAAATTGCTCCTTTTGCTTTTCTCTCTCTCTTCTCTTCCCTTCTCACTGATTCTCTCTTTCTTTCTCTCTCTCTCTTTCTCTCACAATCAATTAATATTCATCTTTCCTCACTTAATGTTTGTGTATGTGTGTGTGTGTTTGTGAGTGTATTTTTTTTACCATTGGTTAATATACATATTTTCCGTACTTTTCTTCTTCATTAAATGTATTCTATATAATTTTTTTTTATTATATTACTACATACTTTATATTTAGTTCCGTTTCTTCTCCTCTTTCTTAGTCTCTCTTTTTTTTTAATTCGTTAATAATAAATTTGTCTATTTTATTGTATTATACGCATTTCGCCTCTTCCTTACTGATTGCTTCATATATCTTGTTGTCGTCATAATTGTTTAATTTGTAGTGTGTGTGTGTTTTATCTAGTATATGTCGTGTGGTAGTGGTGGTTGTGGCTAAAGTGTTTGCATTGATTTCGTTGTTCATCGTCAAACATACATATATGTATCGATTGGTACGGAATTGGCGTTTTCTTGTTTGCTTCGACTTGATGTAAGTAATTACTTATATTTGTATAGCTTGCGGCAGGTCGAAGGAAACAAGAATACCGCTCTCGGTTCAATAACCAAGGAAACACGGTGTTTCTCTATGTTACCTAGGCGACCGATCATTCTTTGCATTGAAGCGAGAGATCAAAGACGGTGCGCGTGCCGTTTCCAATAACAACCGAATGTCAATCGACTGCAACGGATGCAATGCAATTCAACAGACATTCTCAAACAAAACAAAATATATAACAATAATAATAATAAAAAATATTATTATTATAAGAATATGATGAAAAAAAGTACTATGCAATATATAAATATGCGAATTCCGTTAGAGAGACAGAGACAAGCAAAAGTGTGTGTGTGTGTATGTATACAGATAGATAGAAAGATAAAGTGTGGTCGAATGATGTAATCATAATGCGATCTGTAGCATTAGTACGACAAAAGGATTAATTAAAATAATTACGTAAACTAAGCGCGAATGAGATCTCGTGTTTTCATCTATAAATATAAAAATAATGTGTGTGTATGTGTGTGTGTGTGTGTTTATATATTACATAACATATGTAGTAGTAGTAGTAGTAGTAGTAGGTAAGTTACTCCTGTGTCAAAACAAATGAAAATGTTAATTTAAAAAAAAAAGAAAAGAAACCATCATCCATCATACGCGAGATAAATAATTGAAAAAAAAAGTCTTTGCGTTGCACAGAATGTTCTATACACAAAAAAAAAAACAGAAATGAAAATAAAAAATACAAAAGAAACAAAATTTTCTATTTCTCTTCCCTACTTTCTCATCATCCTCTTTCCTACATCCGTTTTTAAAAATGTAGATGATAATAATTAATAATAATAAAAAATAAACTAAATATGAACTATTAAACTCTTCGTCAAGAAATCACAGTGAATTACAAATATAACGTGTTTTTTTTTTGTTGTCTCTCATTTTGTTTATTTTAAGACTCGCGCCTTCTTATTCTTTGATTCTTTGATTCTTCTTCTTCTTCTTCGTAAGGTTTGTTTTGTCTCACCAATTTACTTTGTTATTTTCTTTTCTTCCCAGAGGTGGGTTTGTGTTTGTGGTGATTGGATGGTCGTGGTAGTATAATGACTCGCTGCTGTCGACGAATCCCTTCTTTCTTCGGGCTTCGTTCGCACTGCCAACAACAGCGGAATGCAGCAGCACCAACATCATTATCATCATCAGCAGCATCATCATCATCATCTCATCATCATCATCAACGACAACAACAAAACAAAAAAACATCCGTACTTCTCGATGATTGTTCGGTTGGTTGGTTGTGGTTGTGTATGTTACTTCCTTCTTGTTGGAAGGTAGCAGGTAAAGTTCCTCGACTGAATTTCGATTTTGAGAAGGATCGCTGGGGAGGGGTCCGGGCACTGTGTCCCGCCGCTGCTGCCGCCGTCTGCGACGATGACGTCTCTGCCTCCCTCCCTTTGTTCCGTGTCTCCGATGGTGCCGCCTGGGTCCTGACGATGATCGCCGCTGACGTTCTCTAGCTATCACACGGTCGTGATGACGATCAAAAGGTGGGCTATATCTGCTACGCGCTCCAGCAGGCTGGGCGCAATCCGCCGCAGGTTTTCGTTCACGAAATCGCAGGACGGGAATATATGAACAACGTATGCCGGCTGCATTGAATGAATATTTTATTATTATTATTTGAATATTTATGGATAAAAAAAAACGCGCGTGTGATTGGATTGTTTAATATAACTCACCGGTTGGGTGGTGCCCGGAGCGGCAACGTTGACGATGCCGGCCGCCTGCTTCTGTTGCAAATAGGTGATGAATCCGTTGGAGAGATTTGTCGATTGTTTAAGTACGTCCATGTGATCGTGTCCGCAGGGTAGCGCCAGCAACATGCAGTGCTCGTTTTCCATCTGCACAAATAAACAAAAATCCATTACATCCATTACATCTACCTACTATACTTCCATCTCGAAACTTATCATCCGCTATCCGACTATAATTACCTGCATTTTCCTTGCTACACCTTCGACCTGTGGCGGTTCCAATCGCATCCTCTGGAAGATCCTGAGGGGCGGGGTAGAACCGTCGGTGTTCTTCGGCAGACTCATCTTGGCAACCGAGTCGTTTCCTGACACGAAATACATCTGGACGGCGGCTTGATCGTTCTTTAGAGCCAACAAGCCTTGCCACATCAGAGGGTATTGCTGAGATAGATAGAAAATAGATGTAAAAATGTGATTGCGATTATTGCGGGCGTTTGTGTAGTTTACCTTGAGCAACATGAGCAGACTCTCAGCCTGCGGCGGCACTTGGCTGGCATGAGGCGGTGTTGCAGCTTGGAGGCCGCGCTGCGTGGTCGGAGCATCAGCCCCGTGCCTTGCCACCGCCCCCATTATGTTTCCGGCCGCCCCAAGACCCAATCCCGTCATGCCGTGTTCCGGTGGCAGATGGGTGGTAGCCATGGTGTCCGGCATGTGGGTGGCGGTGGATATCGGTCTGTCGGGAAGATGGGCGGTACCGAGGGGCGGCCGATCTGTGACCAGAGGTGGACCAGCGCCTCCTCTCTCCACACCTGGTGTTAATGCGGCGAGATGGCCGAGTGGCGGACGATCCGACGTAGCGCCAAGCGTCATCCGAAGTGGTCGTTCGCTTCCCAAAGCCGCCAGCGTACCATGCGGGATGGGTCGGTGCGCTGGTGGCGGCTCGCCTGGTTCGTAGTAGGGCGTGTACTGCATCCGTGTTGGCAGCATGTTGTACACTTGAGCCACCTGCGGAGAATCTGTCGAAAGAAAAGAACGAATGGTATTAATATGATTACTACGAACGGTCATCATCCGATGTATTTACCTGTAGCTCGATCGTGCGGCGATTGGAGGCTATGCGGCACGGCGCTGGACCGTCCGCTCAGCTGCATCCCACCGACAGATCCGGGTCTTCTCAGATCCTCCAAATGCGGTGAAGTGACGGGCGCCTCTTCGCCCTCCTGACCGTCGCCGACCTTTTCCAAGCCGCCAGCGATCATCTGCGATCTACGAACGAAACCGTTAATATCCGAGCCGAATTCATCTGCAGAAGATTCGTGGTACCTGGGTATGTGGTACGATTGCTGCCTCAAGTATTGCCTGTACATGGGATGCATGTAATGGTGGGAAGTCATCTCCGGAGGAGGCCGAAGCTGCGCCGCAACGGAAGCTGGATAATGTGGAATTCCTTCGCCCTGAATAACAGAACGCATCAACAGAGAATTAGTTACATTCAACATTTCTTTGGAGTTCGCATTGCGGTTATTAACAGCAATAAATATATATACATAGAAAGATAGATTAATTGATTATTAATGTATGTATGTGAGTGTGTGTGTGTGTGCGTATTTTATATTTGTAATCACCTGCGGCGAGGGGGAATTTTGTTGATGAGCGGGCGGTGGACTCCTATTAAATTGGCTCCGGTCTCCATGCTGCTAAGTTAGTGAAAAACATTCCGCGGTTAGTCTCTTTTATTCGGTACAAAACTTGCAATGTCAGACTTACCAGAGAAGCTTCATAGGGTCCTGCTGCCACCAGACGTTCGTTGGGTCTGGAGACCATCACGCATCCTGCCATTGATACCTCCACCTTGGGCGTATCCATGACCGTCTTTCGGATCTGTTGAGCATGTTGCTGCTGCTGCTGGTGCGGAATAACAGACTGCTGCTGCGGTTGAACGGCTGACGCAGTCGTGGCCGCATTCATCGACAGCAGATGCTGCTTCAGCGGTGGACTCGCAACCATGATGTGTTGTTGTTGCTGCTTCAAGATCGGAATGTTCTTGCCAACCACTTGCTGCTGCTGTCCGGATACCTGGATCTGAGGAGGTTGTTGTGTTTTGTGGGCCATCAATTGAGCGTTTCCCATCATAGGTTGCGACGATTGTGGAGGTGGTTGCGGCTGCTGCTGCTGCTGAGGTTGCTGCTTGCTGATCAAAACTTGATGATTTGGCGAGACGGGCGGTTGGATGACGCCCTTATTGATAGGCGTTTTTTGTTGACCGATGTTCGTCTGCACAATAAGACGTGGACTGATGTTACTGGGCGTCGCTTGGTACGACGACAGGGGAACGTTGATCGTGGGTGCAGATGCCTGCTGTTGCTGAGCAACCGCTTTCGACAGTACATGGGCTTTCAGCGATTGCGGTTTGTTCGGTTTGATGACCACTTTTGTAAGAACATCTGGTTGCTGCTGTTGTTGCTGTTGCTGAATATGGAGCTGGAGCAAATGCTGTTGAGCAGAACCCGCTGACATCACCATATTCTGCTTCTGATCATTCAGTTGTAATTGTTGTTGATGCTGCTGCTGCTGTTGCTGAGATGCTAGAGGTATGTACCTTCCTTCTTCGCATTCCCTCATGGGAGTCAACAAACCAGTGACCGGATCTATCAAAGTCATCGGTTCCTGATTCATTTCTCCCTTGACCCTGCGCAACATTGCCGCTTTTAAACCTTCGTGTGGTTTCTCCCGTACCTCGGTGACTTTGGACGGCGGCGGCTGTAGCTGGGGCTGAGGTGACGATACCAGCGCCGGTACTTCCACCAGCTTGGCTGGTTCTTCGGTGGGTTGCGGCTGCGGTGCCGGTAACTCACGAATACTAATGACATCGTTCTTGATCGCCTTCTCTTCGCTGGAATCGTCCGTAGTTTCGGAAGCCCTGCGGTCCTTCTTCTTGCTACCACCTCTAGGTGACTTCTTGAGCGTTTCCGGAATCACCCTGGGGTTTGCGGTTTGTTGACGTGCAGACCTCCTGGTTCCCACCACGGCTGCAGCAGCAGCTCTGGTCAGTACCGTGTTCTTGACGACGTCCTCGATGGTGTCGTCTACGGTGTTCCTGGCCACGTCTTTCTCTTGCAGCCGCCTGGACTTCCTGGTGTTTGCAGGCGAAGCAAACTCTTCCTTAGGTTCTGGAGGCGGCGGCGGTTGCACCACCTCCTTAATGACGGCGGCATTTCCGTTGCTGTTGGCGATTGCCGGCGACTTGATTGTCAGTATCAGGCGAGGCCTGTCCTTGTTGCTCTCGTCGCTGTCGTCGCGGAACTCGTAGATGTCGTTCGTCTCGGACTCGGATTTGGTGAGTTTGCGATCGGTCTTGATGCGACCTCCGCGGCCGCGTCCTCTCGTCGTTGTCACTTCCTTGACTTTACCGCGACGTGTTTGAACACCGCTACGATCAGAGACTGCGGCTGCTGCTGCTGCTGCGGCGGCTGCAGCACCTCGTCCTCTCCTGCCCCTCGCCATTCTGCCACCTCTCCTGCCACTTCTAATCGCCGCCACTTCCTTCTCATCCTCCAGTTGCAAGAGTTCTTCTTCGTGCTTCTCCTCCATTTTCTCTACGATTTGCTGCTCGATGATCTCCTTTTCTTCCTTCACCAATTTATCATCAAGCCATTCGTCCTTGCCGACGTCGCTGCTGCGATCAGACAACTCGTCCGCCGAACAAAGGGCGTCTACCTTCTTAATAACGGAGTCGATGTTGACCTCTTTGGCGGACCAATAGTCGCTATCCTCCTTCGAATCGAGAGCGTCCTCCTTAATATCAGCGCTCAGTCTCTCCTTGCTGATGTCCGATACAATGCTTTCCGTATCCGCTTTTTCCTCGTCAAACTTCTCGACTTCTTTGATCACCGAAATCACCTCCGGATGTTCGGACGATGACGACGCTGTTCGTTCTTTCCTCTTCGCAGCCGTTTCCACTATCGCCGCAGGCGTTGGTTTGATTTCGTCGTGCTTCAGCAGCAAATTCAACTCTTCGGTGACCTGTTCTATGGCCAATGATTTAGCGGCCTCTTCCGCAATGGGTTTCTCGAGTTCCTTCGGAGTCTGTACGATCACCGGACTCGGAGTCGATGTTCTGGTCGGAACGGCCGTGACCACTGTCAACGTGTTCTTGCACTCTATCGTTGGTTTAGTGCTGTGTTGTTCACAGGACACGACCTCTTTTACCTTGACAACGCTGCCACCAATTATCGGCAATACCGAAGACGGTGTCGTCGGTTGTTGTTGCTGCACGGGCAACGGTGTCACAATTTGCAGATGTTGTTGTTGTTGCATTTGTATGACCGGTGGCAGTGGTTGTTTTTGCATCGGCGACGGTGGCGGCGGCGGCTGTAGCGTCAATGCAGCCAACTTGGGTGCCTCCTGGATAACCGGCATGAACGGCGGTGGTTTCGACGTCGAGATGATGATGGCTGGAGACGGCTGCGGCGCTGTCTGCACCGTTGACGCATGCTGCTGGTTCACTGTTGACATTCCCGCAGCAGATGCAGCCGACGGCACTGGCATTGGTGACGGCGTTAGTGGGATACAGTTGATCGTTGGAGTGGCCGATACTTGTATAGCCGATGGAGATACCTTGACCACAGGCGTCGATACTAATGGTAGCGATTTTACAGATTTGTTGATCAGCGGTGGTGGGGTCACTCCGTAGCCGGAGAGCACCATGGGTTTGCTGATCGACGAGTAGCTGATGGCGGCCACTGCAGCAGCCGAAGTCATCGGTGGTTGTGGTGCTGGTAATGGTAATGATGTTGGTGGTACAGCCGACGGCAACAACGATTGTTTGAGCATCAGCGAAGGCGTATTCTGCTGCAACGGGACTGTTGTCAACTTCTTCGTGGCTGGTACAAGACTGGCTGGATTCTGAACAGTCGATATGCTCGTAACAATGGCTGGTATCTGAGGTTTCACGTGAACCAACGTAGTGATGGGCGGCGTCTGCTGCTGATGCGACTGTAGCTGATGGTGATGTTGAAGCATCGTTGTCTGCGGCACCGGAGCAGGTTTGACCAAGAAACTGGTGAGGTTGGGCAGCGGTGCAGATCCAGGAGGCTTTGCTCCACTAATTAGCAGTTGTGACGATGTTGGTTTCGCAATCAACGGTGGCGGTTGCTGCTGCTGTTGCGAAATAATCGGTTTTAATTGTGCAGCTGGACTCATAATGATTTGTTGTTGTTGTTGCTGCTGCTTTATCTGCTGCAAGGATGTCTGTTGATGTTGTACCGTTTGAACTACGCTCTTCTGCTGTTGGCTCATAACCGGCAATTGCGGTTTTATCGTTATCGTTTGATTGGCAGTGGGCAGTATGCTGGATTTGATTCCACCGAGAGTCGGCATGTTCTGCATTTTCTGCTGTTTCTGGATTGTAACCAATGGTTGTTGTTTTATCTGTGCAGCAGTAGACGTAATCACAGGTGATTTGATCTGGGTGACGTGCGGCACCGGCGGTGGACTGCAGATGGTCTTCGTGATGACAGGTGTCTTGGTAGTGGTGATGGTAGCCGGAGTCGTCGGAGATGGTGTCATCGGCTGCGGAGGCAACGACTGCTTAGCTTGTATCGATGGCTTGGTCACTTGCGTTACGATCAACGCAGGTGTCGGTGGCAGCGTTGGCAGTTGCGACTGCATCGGTGACGGCGGCGGTGGCGTGGCCGACGGTTTCGTTGAGATCAGCTTAGGTGGTTCGCTGCTCCTCACAGTTTTGTTTCCCTCGAATTGCTGTTGCATGTAGTTCGGACGGGTGGTGGTGACAACCAAACCGGGCGGCGATTTAAGTTGCCTGACTGGCGGTGGAATGTAACTGTGTGGAGGATACACGGTCGTCCGTTGTTGCAGTTGCTGGTGTTGCTGCTGTTGCATTTGTATCTGGGTCTGCTGAGGCTGCTGCTGTTGCTGCATCGGTTTGGTCTGTGGCGGCGGCACGACCGGTATGGTGGTTGGCATAGGTAGTTGTATGGGCGGCGGCTTCGAGACAACGACGGGCGTCGTCGTGATCGAGAGCCTATTCAACGTCGAGACCTGCGTCGGATTGGCCTTGGATTCTGGCTTCGATGGGACCGGTGGGAACGGCATCTGTGCTGGCAAATTATGCATTTTGACTGGCTTCAATGGAGGCGGATCCTCTTTGAACACTGCTGCCACCTTTGTGGCGGGGATCGCTGTCGGTGCCGTTACAACCACGGACGTCGTTTGCATCACGTTGAAATTTCTTATCTTCTCTTCGACGCTCCTCTTGGTGGTCTCGGTTACCTTGATGGGAGTCAGAGACGGCGGACTGCCGATATTCGGCATGCTCTTCTCGTCCTTGCGATAGTAGCTCGGAATGTCTGGTGTCTTTGGCGGTTGCGAGAAATCAAGCATTTCCGGCGTCTTGGGTGTTTCGTAGCGCAGACCGCTGGTGATGGTGCTTCCGCTTCCGATCACCTCGTCCTGCTCCTCGGTGTCTGTGTCGATTTGCAGGTCGTGCTCGCTCTGCGGAGTGTCCGGCTTAATTTCGAGCTCGTTCGTGTTCAGACTTTGCACCGCTTGCCTCATTTCCTCGTCGTCCTGTGCGTTGCTATCCTCCAGCGGTGGACTCTGTGGTTCGGTATAGCATTCTTCAAATTGACCGCTGCTGAAGCTTTCACCGAGAAGAGCTGCGACCGCATCTTCAGTTTCCTCTTGCGAAATAACGACACGCGGTTTTTCCTCGGGCAATTCCACTTTTTCGCTCTTAGAATCAGGTTCCGGTGATTTCGCCGAAGACTCTGACGGCAGTTTCAGATCGAAGTCCGAGATGGATTTGACAGCGTTCTCGTGGATCTTCTCGTCCATGTCCAAGCCGAAAGCGGCAATGAATTTGTCTCGTTTCTTTTCCTTGGAGGATGTCGGTGTTTTTGGAATTGGACTGATGAGAGGTTCTCGGATCTGCGGCGAAATGTTAATTTCCAAAAGACTGGTGGATGAAGACTTTACGATTGGCGGACTATCGAATATACTCGGAGCGCAATGCTTTTCCTCCATTTTGACAACCACAACAGCGTCTTCATCATCCTCCACCCGTGATTCCTTCTTAATAATTTCCGGAGATTTCACTTTGTTCTTATCGTGATGATGATGGTGATGATGGTGCCTCTGCTTTTCGTCTTTGCTCTTCTTTCGTTTCTTTTTCTTCCTTTCTTCCTTGTCCTTTCTCTCCTTCACCTCTTGTTGCGGCTGTTGCTGCTGCTCTTTTTGGTGATGGTGGTGGTGATGATGATGGTGAGGTTGCTGTTTAAGCTGTTGATCACCATCTACGAGGAATCGTGTTTCTTCGGGATCTTTCGTTTCCTCTTTTGTCGGTGTTTTCAGTAAGACATCGGCGGCAACTTCGTTGCTGTCATCCTTGATGTTGTCTTCCAGCTGCTTACCCAAGTCAACAAAGTCCATGCTGTTGTCGTTGTTTGCAGCTTGTTGTTCCTCCCGTAGCCGCTGCTTCTCTTTCTCTCGACGTTTCCTCTCCCTTCGTTTCCGGTGCTCCTCCCTCAAGATTCGCTCCTTCTCCTCGGATTTCAGGCGTTCCTTCTCCTCGTACTTTATCCTTTCTTTCTCCTCGGATTTGATTCTTTCCTTCTCCTCGGATTTTATTCTTTCCTTCTCCTCTGTTTTTATTCTTTCCTTCTCCTCGGTTTTTATTCTTTCCTTCTCCTCGGATTTGATTCTTTCTTTCTCCTCAGATTTGATTCTTTCCTTCTCCTCGGATTTGATTCTTTCCTTCTCCTCGGTTTTTATTCTTTCCTTCTCCTCGGATTTCAGCCTCTCCTTCTCCTCAGCTTTCAATCGTTCCTCCATTTTGAGAGTTGCTGCTGCTTCGTCGTTTTGCGTCTCAGAATCACTCGCATAAGGTGCAGTCATCGTCGTCGTCGTAGTGTTTTCTTCGTTAAACTTAAACGTACTACCGCTGCACTCCATAAACACCGTTGATTTCTGTTCATCATCCTTCTGCCCATCCGAGTCATCCGACAACGATCCAAAGATGTTCTCCATTTTGCCATCCCTCCGGTCTTTACTCTCGCTCTTGCTTTTCTTAGACTTTTTCTGGTCTTTCGTTTTATCGCGCTTTTTGTCTTTCTTGCTGTGTTGTTTGCGCTTCTCGGAATTCTTACTCCTATCCTCGTCGTCCACCTTGGAACTTTCCTCGCCAGACTGCGAGTTTTTCTGACGTTTCTGCTTTTTCTTGTGCTTTTTCCGGATTTCCACTTTGATTTCGTCACCGGACGAGTTGTCGTAGATGCGTCTGTTGTTGAACTTACTCTCCTCCTCCTCCTCTTTCACCTCGACAGGAGAAAAGTCCTTTATATCTTTGTACTTGGTTTCGAAGTCTTCGTCTTTAATCTTTAATTTGTATTTCTCCTCGCTATCTGCGAATCCTTGGTCTTCGTTGTCGGAGAAGAGGTCAGATTTGATTGTCTCTCGTGTTATCTTGTTGTAATCGTCATCGGAGGTGTCAGAGATGATCAGATGTTTTGATGCTCTTCGTTTGATGTGATGATGGTCGTCGTCGCTGCTGTCGAGTGCCGCCTCCGATTTGATCTGTCTAATTCTGTTATCGGAATCGGAATCGCTGAACATCTCCTTTTTGGTCATCTGCTTGGAAGAGTCTCCGTGATCATCGTCCTCATCTGAACTAATGATGGTGTTCATTCTGGATTTGCGTCTGCTCGTCTCGCACGGATCAGAATCGGAGTCCTCGTCCCAAGAGGTGGATCGTTTCTTTTCTTCCCGTTTGGCGCGACTCTGCTTCAGCTGACTGAATTTGGCTTTGATCTTTTCCTGACGTTTCTCCTCCTCCTGTTTCTGCATGTTCTTGCAACTCCTCGCCTTCACTTTGTCGTACATCGAGATGTACGCAGGTTCATCGTCGACGATATCGAAAATGGAATGTTTCTTGGGCTCATCTGAGTCCGAATTATTGTCCGAACTGTTGGTCATTTTTCGAATACGCTTCCTCTCGTCGGAACCGCTTTTCGGGGTGTCCTCCCGCTGGTGCTGCATATGCTGATGTTGGTGTTGGTGCTGGTGTTGCTGCTGCTGCTGCTTGATGACACCTTCCTTCTTGCGCTCCTCGTATTCACGCTTATCCCTCTCTTTGCGCTGCTGCAGCATTTGCTTCTGTTTCTCGACTTCCACCAATTCGAGCCTGGCCATAAACTCCTTGTCCATCGAGGCCAATTCTTTGAATATTGTTGACGTCGATGTTGGAGTCGGGGTCGGAGTCGAGGTGGGAGTCGGTGTAGACGTCGAAGTCGTAGTCGGTACAACAGGAGGGACCGGAGTTACCGTTTGATTTGGCGTCGGTGGAGATTCCCTGCTTCTTTTCAGTTTCCTCTCCGACTTGATCCTCTTGTGCTCTCGGTCCCGATCCTTGCCGCCTCCGCTGCTGCTGCTGCTCACATGATTGTGCTTTCTATCGCAATTCTTGTCTTTGTGCTTCTTATCCTTCGAATCTCTCCGTTCAGAACCGATCTTCTTGGAGTGTCCATCCACCTTCATCTTTTTCGGTTCTTCTGACGAGTCAAATGAGTCTATCGAGCTTATCCGGCGTTTGCTGCCGATCGGTGGTAAACTGTTGTTCCTCTCTTTCCGAGACGACTTTCTATCCTCTTCCTTGCTGTCCACGGAAGAGCGCTCCTTTGAATCTCGCAACTCAAACAGCGATTTCGGTTCGCCTCGTTCTTTATCAGTTGAGTGTTGATGCTCGTAGTGTCTAGAAGATTCGAAAAGCATCCTTTGGTCTTTGTTGATGTTGCTGCTGCTATTGCTGCTGCTGCTACCGTCCACAGAGTGACGACTTTCACGCACCTCGAGAGCGGACTTGGTAGATGACTCCGAGTGACGATCCTTCGACGATTCCGACTGCCTGTCTTTGGAGTCCTGCGGTCGGTCTTTACCTTCACGAATCTCCAAGGAACTTCGATTCAACGTGTTGTTATGGTGGTCCTTGCGCCTCTCCGGTTCTTTGGTTCTGTGACTTTTCGATGAATCCACATTATTGTGTTTCGTCGTCTCACTGTGATTTTCGCGGTGCCTTTTTTCGTGATTGTCATATCTTTCGTCTCGGCGACGTTCTTTTTCAACTGCCATATCTTTTTCTTCCTCGTGCTGCTGCTGCTGCTGTTGGAGTTTCCTCTCGGCAGCTGCTTCCGCGACCTCCCGGCGTTTCTCTTCCTTCCGCCTCTCCTTGTCCATATCTTCTTTGCGACGTTCCTCCTCTCGTCGCCTTTCCCTTTCCTTCTCGATCTGCTCTTCACGTTCCTTCCGATCGCGTTCCTCCTTTTCGCGTTTCTCCTTCTCCTCGCGCTCCTTGCGTTCACGCTCTTCGCGTTCCCGCCTATCCCGATCTTCTTTCTCTTTCCGTTCCCGATCCTCGCGTTCCTTCTCCTCTTTCTCTTTGCGTTCACGTTCTTCCTTCTCTTCTTTCTCTTTGACATTCTCGTATTCGGACAGTCTTCGAGTTGGCGGGTCCTTGTCGTGGACCTTATCGTTATCACAATTGTCGTGGTCAAAGGAGTGCCGTAGCGAGTGCTGCGAGGATGGAGGTGGCAGCGGCGGTGGAGGCGGTTGTTTGTCGCTGCTGTCCCGTCTTGTGGGTGGCAGCGGTGGCGGAGGCGGAGGCGGTAGCGGCGGAATGTTCGCGTTTTTGTTATTACTATTATTACTGTGTTCACTATTTGCCGTTGAAGAGGAGGAGGACGACGACGACGACGAAGATGAAGAGTTGGAAGAGGATGACGATGATGAGGAGTTATTGTTATTTGTGTTCACTTTTGCACTCTTATTTACACTGACTTTACTAGGTGTCCAACTGTCACTGGGGGCGGCGTTCGTGCACGGTTTGAGTCTGTTTGAGTCACCGTGCGTAGACCGCGGGGTTGTTGTTGTTGTTGTACAAATGGGCGGTTGCGGTAGGGGCGGTTGGGGAGCAGTCGGAGACGGCTGCATCGGCGGATGCGTTGGAAACGGATATTGAAGCCCCTTGGCTGCCGTAGCGAAAACTGCTGCTGCCCGACTGCTCGTACTGCTGCTGCTGCTACTGCTGTTGCTACCCTCTTCCGTGGGCATTGCTGACACTCCGGCTGAGAGCAGTGTCGTCGCCACCGGTGCGATCGTCGATGAAACTGCCGCGGCTAATGCCGCTGCCGTCATCGCAGGAACAGTCGTCAGCGTCGGAGTCGAAGGGGTTGCGCGCGGTGACAGCATCGTCGGGGTCGTGCAGACCTTTAGTAGAGGTAGCGTTGCCAATGTAGAGGATGATGCAGGTACTGTAGTTTGGACTGGCATACGTGGAAAGAGGTTGAAATCCTTCGGCTCGTACTTCTCGCCAACGTTCTCGAGCCGCTTAGAGTCCTCATCGAACACCGACCGTTTGGCCATCACAGACTTTACGATCTCGCTGGGCTGCAGCTCCTTCAAGTCCAGATCGAGCAGCTTATGGCGAAAGCGGAACCGGTCACGACACGCGTCCATCTTGGATAGAGCGTCCACTCCTGCGGTGCTCAACGCCCTCGAACCCGACCACTTCTCGTACTTCTCGTCCAACGATTTGATGCGCTCCTCCAGCGAGGGCGACGGCGACGCTCCATCGCTGTCGCTAGAGTTCGAGCTGAGCGATGGAGGCCTCGGAGGGGGCGATGCGGGCGGCGGCACCGGCGTCGGACTAGGCGGTTTCGCGTTGGATATGCGAGGACTGGTGACGGCCGGCGGCGGACTGGAGAGCACGTTCTCCTTCTGGCCCTTGATGCCCGCTATCGAAATGCTCGCTTTGCCCATCACGAGAGACGCAAACCGCGGCAACGGCAATGTCAGAGGGCCCTCACGATCCCTGGGTATCCGTCGAGGTTCCGTAGGCGCGAAATGTTCGGGCCTCTCGTCGCACAGAGGCGTACCCGGTCGCGAACCACCGACACTTTCCGAACTCTCGTAATGATGCACTCGGCCACTGTCACTTCCCGCTGTCTTTCGTCGTTTGCAGACCGCGTGAGGAAGGTATCCACGCTCGTGCGCGCCGAGCCGGCCGTCCACGCTAGGCCTCCGCGAAATATGCTTAAAGTTCGCGTCGAACCGCCTCACCTCCATCACCTTCCGATGGTCTCTGTTCGCTTCGATTATAACTTCGCTCGAAATCGTTCCATCCATGTGCTCCAACTTCAACCTCTTCTTGGGGCCGACTTCATCGCCAGAACTGGGACAATCCTCGAGCTGCTCTAGAAGTAACACACGTTCCTTCTGCAGGTTGCGAATATCCGGCTGGACGAACGGAACGATTACGTGCTCGACCGGTGGAAATTTGGTCTCTATCGGCTCCAGATGGGAGGAAGGACTCTCGTGATAAGCGTACTCGTGCTCGTAGGTGTCCTCATGCGATGCCCCGCTGCCCTGACTGTACTCGTCGTAGTTCCGAAAGTGTCTCTCAGGATAGTCGGCAGCGCTATTCTGATCGTAGTAATCGTAGCGGGTGAGGCGAGATCTAGCACCGGTGCCCCTAGGAGTCGCCGAACCGGGCGTTCCTGGTGACGGCACCGCTCCTGTCGCGTTGCACTGGGTGCCCCCTGCAGCTCCTGACCTGCTGCTGTACGAAGCGGTCCTAGGCCTCGTCGGCGTCTCGTATCTGCTGAAACACACATCGTTTATACCTGTTGTTGTTGTAGTAGTGGTGTTGCATTCGTTTGCCGTTTGTCACTTACCTTGAAAATCTGCTGGAGCTTATGCTCTCAAAAGTCCTGGACGAGGTGTCCCGTCGGTCATCGATCCCTGGTCTTTCGAAGATGAGTCCTTGCTTCTCCAAGTTCTCGAAGAACGCTTCCTGGCACTCGCGACTAGCAAAATCGACCTGGATCTTTCTGCCCCTGAGGCTCATGCCCCGCATCTTGTTCACAGCCGTCTGCGCGTTCACCACCTGATCGTAGAAGATCAACGCCTGGCCCTTCTCCCTGTCGCAGAAGGTGGACACGACACTGCCGAACGGATCGAACTGCATATTCAGGTACTTGTCGTTCACACTGTCACTGACACCGTCGACCCAGACGCATGGCGTCGGCATCGACTTGCCAAACCCCAACTTGATCCTGTTGTTGTTCAAATGTTCACCGTCCATAGTCCGAATCGCTTTCACCACACTCACTATGTCACTGTACTGACAGAACGCGTACGAACTCACTGCACCCTGTTTCTTAATATCGATCTCGATGATCTCTCCGAACTGGTCGAAATGCTTCCGAAGATCTGACGCGGTCACGTCCTTCTCCAGGTTACCGATGAACAGCGTCCGCGTCGCCTTCGGATGGAACTCGTCGATCTCGGCTTCGTACGGCCGCAGGTCGTTATCCTCGACGTCGTAACCCTGGTACGGAGCGACCTCGATCTTGCAGCCGAAAAAAAACTTTTCGTAGCTCACCTCGAGAGCCTTCTCGACATCCTCGGGCTTCTTGAAGCAGACGATCGCGTGTCTTTCGGAATTCTGACCGACCACCTTTACCCATCGCACCTTACCATGCTTCTTGTACTCATGGTAGAGGCCATCCTTCAGCGAGGTGTCGGATGATCGCAGCGGTAGATTCCGCACGCAAATCGAAAGCGGCCTACGATCGTCCGAGTGAACGACGGCGTTGCCGCTGGCTTGCTGCCTCCTGGACTTTCGGCTGCCGCTGCCGCTCGAACTGGTGCTGCTGGAACTGCTCGAACTGCTCCTGGACCGAGATCTGGATGGCGACCGCGAAGACGTGCTACCCGATGGAGACGGAGATCGACTACCACCAATCGTCGCCGACGCCGCCACCGGTGCCGTCGTCGATGTCGTGGTCGTCGTTGTCGTCGTCTTCTTTGGAACGATGACCTTGCTACCGCTGCTGTTGACGTCAGCCGGAGTGCTGTAGCCACCTCCGACTCCTCCGCCGCTGCTGATGCCACCACCGCCGCCTCCACTGCTAGCTCCCGTTCCGCCTCCGAGGATGAGACTGCTGACGATTCCAACGCCGACGACGCCTCCACTGCCGACACCAATATCGGCGGGTTGATTGTTGGTCGTATACCTCGTCGAAGATGTATCGTATGTAGAGGACCAGGCGTTATTCGAGGGCCTGTGCCTTTCCAACGGGGCGACGTACGTCGGTCCGTTACGGAAACTCCGGTCCCGATTCCTGCCGCGACTGTTGTCGTGGTAACCGGGCCTCCTATACTCCGCTTCCGGTGGCGGTCTTGTGCCGGTGCCGCGATCATAGAACCTATCGGCACCCAATTCTTCGGCGGAACTGAAAACCAAGAAAGCAATGCATTAATACACAATAACATACTGTTGTTGAGATTGGCCGCTTGAAGGCGTCCGTACCTGTGACCGTTGGGAAACCTGGGGGTGGTGGTCGTGGATGGTGTGGCGGTGGCATAAGGGACAGCCGCGCTCGGCGGCGACGTTGAGGACGGAATGGCGGCCGGCTCGTAGTACTCCGTGGTCAGAGTCCTGTCGTCCAGCTTATTTTCGGTTTTGTGCGCCATGGACGCGCTCTTGATGTCCATGAATGCCACCGTGCACGTGTTCGTTTCCTCCTTGCCGCCCCTCGGTAAGAATTTGACGCTTTGCACGCGGCCATACCTATTAATCGTCATCATCATCAAGAACATCGTCGTCGATCACCAAGAGTTGAATCGAACCGAAGGGTTGGCAAAAAAAGAGAGAGCGAGAGAGAAAACAGAAAAAAAAAAGACACATTAGATTAATGAGAGCTGCAGTGCTTTGCATTCAAAACATAAATAAATAATTAAATCAATCAATCAATATAATAATACAAAGGAAAAAAAAATGAGACAAACAGACAGACAAACAGACACACAGATATATAGAAAGATAGAGTAAGGAAGAGGAAACACATATAATAATAATAATACACATATAGAATTATAGACTGAAAAGAAGTGAGGCAGAGCGAAAGAATCACGCACGCACGCAATAAAAAAATGAATGCATATAAATTTGAATATATGTATGTGCTGTGTATGTTTGTGTATGTAAACAACAGTCACCACCACCATCTAACTACATTAATTACTATTTGTTAGTTAAGATATTCGCTTGAAAGTCTCCGTCAACGTGTGGTGTGTGTGTGTGTATGTACGAGTGAGGATGATGCAAATTCCATGATGCAAGTGATTGCAGAATTGTTCGTTATCGGCCGTCCGGGTGGAGGACGGTTGAGGTCGCTTTTCTGAAATCGACCTGAAATGTGCACGTACACAACATTTAGGGGTGAGATATGGTGATGGTGGCCGTTGTGTTCGAGTTGAGCCGGCCAAACGCCTGACCGTCCGCCCGTTCGGTCGTTTCGAAGGGTGCAGACTCGCAGCAGCAGCCCTGCAGCCACCGCCCCCACCCCTTTATTCGCGAACCATGAAAACTGGTAGTGGGCTGGATGGTGACGAGGGCACGAAATTTAAACAAAAAGTTTCATAAGAAAAGAATTCGGTAAAATGCATTTGAGGTCAAATAAAGAAACAAAATTTGATGGATGCATGGGTGGGCGAAGTGGAGGCGAGAGGCGAAATGAAAAAGAAGGATAGGGGTGGATGGGTTTCGGTTTGGTTCAGTAGAAGTAATACATTTATTTAAATTACATCCGTTCCGCGCTGCTGCGTAATTCATCGATTTGCCCCTCGTCCCATTACGGCCCTGCTGCCGCTACGGCCGCCGCCGCCTCCCCGACCCTCCGACGTCGTCATCGTCGGCAAAGGCGAACTCTGCCAGGAATGGCCATTATTATCGGGAGCCTCCGTCGCCGTCTCGCACCACCACCACCAACAACAAGTTCGACATGTGAGTGGGGAGATGGTGACGGTTGGCTGGTTGGTTGGTTGCGGGTGGTAGTGGGCAGGGTCTTCGCGTGGCGGAGAGGAGGAATGATGAAGGGTTGGGGGCGGCGACGGCGGCAGCTCACGACTGAATAGCTTCTCGCACTCGCACACCCCAAAATAGAAATGAAAAAGAAATGCCGCGTTGCCAAACGTAAATCATTTTGATATTATTTCAAGCTGCACCGTCCACATCCAACCATCCAACCAACCAACCACCCTTACTTTCTTTTTCGACATGCATTATATTTGTGTGTGTGTTTTGGATCTTTCCTCTGTCCTTTTTTTAAATAAGCAGACACATATACTTGTGTACACGATACTCGCAGCAAACGGCCAATTTAACCTTTTGCAAACATAAAGGAATCGTAATTATAGCGAGATAGAGAGAGAGAGAGAGAGAGAAGGGTGAGCGAGTCGAGGCAGAGCACAATAGCAAACAATTTCAATTCAAATGTAAAAGCGAATTGTGCTCTTGAAGAGAATCCAGAAATTGTTCACTCTGCTCTGCATGCTGTCTGTTGTCTCTGCTAGAGCATTCTATATAAATACGTATATATTTGGTATTGGCATGTTGTTGCATGCAGAAGGAAGAGAAGCTTGAGAATCGGGCGATGGAAACAGATGAATGAAGTGCAGTCATTATGTAAACTTTGTTATTTTTATCGAGAATCCGTCGTCGCCCAGCCCTATTGAGTGTGTGTGTGTGTATGTGTTCACATTATTTGCGTCACACTAAGGTCACTTCTTGGAGGACAATAAATATTTATTAAGCGTGGAACTTTTTCCATTCTTCGTGAGCTTCGCACCGCCAACTGTCGACCGGTTATTTTTTTTTTTTGTCACGAAACGACAATAGAATGAATCGCATTCATTCTATATTGAATAAAGAAGAGAACGTACGATGAAACGCATTTCCGCATCGAACACAATGCACGACAAACAATTGAAAGATGGGAGAAGGAGGGGATGATACGAAGTGTAATGTTAATCAGTAGTAATTCATTCTCGTCGAATTGAGATAATGAAACAACAACAACAAGTCAAGTCCAAAGTCGGCACATATTTTCGCATCCACGAAACAGAAGCACAATAATATAATTTAGGACCTTATTATAATACATTTTATCGAGCTGCAAGAAGCAAATTTTAGATTATCTCGGTTAGTGCAAGAACAAACAACACACGTGGCGTGGTCAACGGGTTTTGATCTTCAATTACGAACAATCAGCTCGTTATTTCAATGTAAACGCTGATGCTGACGTAAGCCCACCGCCGCCAGATTGCACACACACGCACGCACAACATCAAAGTCAAACGAGCGCTTCGCACTTTGTTTCCAAGGCGACAAAAACAATGGCTGTTGGTTTTTTTTTTAACTCGCTGCTGCCGGTAGTAACAGTCGAAACAACTATGACACGTATGATTCGTTTGACATTGACGATGGATTTTGGGAATTTGTTACTAATTGCATAATGCAGTTTTATAAATACAAATAGAGGTAGCGTGCATGTTGGAAGTGCAAAAAAGATAGATTTCCTTGGATTTGTTGTGACGCTGCGTCTGTTTATTTTCGTTTCGGTACGTAATATATTTACTTGTTTTGCTTTCCGTGTCCCGAATATAAACAAACCGTTAATAATGAGAAGAGAGCGACGAGCAGCAAATTAAATTGCCCGCAGCGATGAGCGACGCGATTTTCCCCGACGCCCACGCCTCCTCCTCCTCAGCCGCCACCGCCGCCGCCGGTCAAAGTGTAAGAAATACAATAATAGGTATTGAACATGATTTCGACGTTCGCGCAGACAACAGACATCATCAAAACTAAGAAAGCGGTTTGCAAAAGAAGATAGACGGGCAGGCAGGCAGGCAAGAAGGAAACGTGTGTACAATGGAATATAACAGGTATTTTGTTACGTGGCCGCGGGCGGATGAATAATTCCATCGCCAGTTTTGCGCGTATCCATTCGGGATATGGCTTATAAGAAGAGGGTGCGGTGGAGGGGACGGTTTTTGGTGGATAGTCGAAGAAGGCGGCAGGCGGAGTCGTAGCAGTGGCCGAACGGATGGAGAGGGGTGGAGACGGCTGTGGTGGTGGCGGCAGCAGCAGCGACGGTCACGTAACGCGCGCGGCGAACGTGTGTGTAATTCGCGCGCGGACTTTTTCAGGTCGGATAGTAGCGATGAGTCAGCAGCCATTTTAACGACGTGTGCCGTGCAAAAATAACACGCGAGCCATCATCAACGCGCATGCATCAATGCATATACATTTCTATGTATGTATGTATGTATATATAGGAGGGAGGAAATTGCGTCGTAAAAATGTCATAAGAGAAAATTTGGTGAAATTTGAATTTGTTGATACAAACAAACAAACACGCGCGTATGTGTAATAAATGCATGATAATAATGCAATGAAATTTCAACAAGAAAAAGTTTTAAAAAAATAAACAAATATTATCCCACTTGACACACCACCAAGATTATATTATTCGGTGGTACTGCTACTGCTGCTGCTGCGTCACATAATTGTAATCACGTTGTAATTTCTGTACTTTTCTCCCTTATATATAGTATTATTATTATCATCAATAAGGTGCTAGGTAGTAAGTCTCAACGGCAAGTCAAGCCAACTCTGACGGAGCTCACTCCTTCGCTAGGAGACTTTCCTCCTTCGCTCGTCGTTGCCACCACCAACATAAAATGCATGCACATACATACACACGTCTACGGAGGAAGCCGATCCCCACCTTCCCCCCTTACCCCACGGCCACGACGGCAACAAATCTAGTAAGCTGTCGATGACGTAAGCGTTGTCGACGTGGCAACGCAGCGCACCCGCAGTGCAATCTCCGCACACTCGACGAATTTCCTCTCGACTAAAAACAAGTCAAGTTTTCGAAAACCGTCTTCCTTTGTAAATAATTTTTCTCCAAATTCATACGCGTTATAACCGCGCTGCACACAAATTTCCTCATGATCTTTCATCTACCACTACCGTTGCGAATATAGTGTTTGAAGGGGTGGGTGGAGTGGTGTTGATGGTAACCCGGCGGCGGCGGCGGTGGATCGATCACAGAATCGATTCGTTTTATGTTATTCGGGATGGGGGCGGGGGTTTTGGTTTTCTGCCTGTCACGAGGGTTGGACGAGGAGGCGAGATAGAGAGAGGGATTGATTGGTTGGTTGTTTTAGTCTTCTGCCTCTTCCATCTCCGCGCCCATTTTCATTATCTTTTCTTTATATATACATAGATATTTTTTTTGTGCAGCAGCAGCTATTCCATCTTCGACCGACAAGTGTCATTTTGTTTTCATATCTTTTGTCCCATTTTTCAATGGCATTATATTATATAACTGCGCAAAAACGCAAAGAATATTGTTTCTCTTTATCTGTAATATTTGCAATTGCGTGCAAGTACATACTTTTTCAACGTTGAAATGTACGACAACAAATGAATACACAAAAGTGGGACGCGTGGAATTCATTTTGTTCCGGGTGCGAAGACGTGCATCATTGGCCTCACCGATGTCGGCAGAAAAAGAGCAACGATTCTGATAGGCGCATCACAACGGCAACGCCCACCTGCGGCGACAGCATTAGCAAATAATAATCGTACAAAGGGTCGTTTCAATTAGGGAAACACGTAAAAATAAATCGAATTTGATAATTATTAGTAAACAAAAAAAGATGTTCCCCTTCTGCACATTGAATTTCCTCCGATTGACATTGTTCGTCTCACGTTAGAATATCCGACTCTGCCTTGCGGCGATAAATATTGCAATGACCTTTTTGCTTGATGGAAAGTTAGAAAATCAAGCACACCAACATCGAATGAGTCATTGGCCTTACTCAGTCGCCTGCCCATCTATGTAGTAAGTAAGAGGCCAATTAGAATAGCGCGTATTGGATTCGCCCGTCTCATTGGCCCTTGCTTGGGTGGGTGTGGGTGTTTGTTAGGTGTCATTGCAAATGATTCGCCAGTCTTTTGTATTCCTTCTTCCCGGCAACGCCAACACCAACGCCATGTTCCCGATCAATTTGAGAGGGAGGAGAAACCGAGGATAATCGACGCAACAACACACAACATCACGGTCGCAGGCTGTCAATTAAACGCAATTATTTGTAGAAATAAAAATGGCACCCACCGCCTTCAGCTGTCAATCAAACGGCAGCTCGAGCGTAACACGATTGTTGTTGCCATGACGATATTCATAAAATTTCATCGACGAAGAGGAAGAAACAGGAGAGAGGAGTAGGAGTAGAAAGAATAAGAAATAGATAAACGAAAGATGAAGAATGCGATCTTCTTATGTGGCACCCGAATGAAGTACTGTACAATAATAATGCCGGTAGGAAGAAGGCGAATGGCGGCAACGTCGCAGTCGGTGGAGGCGGCCGGCAATCCCTTGTCATCTGCAGAGCAGGCAACGCGGCTGTTGTATCGATCAACCCACCCGCATCAAGCGAGAATTCCCGACCCGAAAACGCACGAAGAACGAATCCGACGGTCCGCGACACGTAACTCTCGCACATATACACACACACATTGTATAATCATTGAAAATGTGAAAACCCGGGCTCATCCATTGAAAAGAAGGAGCCGAACGAACGGACGTCGCGACGCTCACAACTGTCGCAATTTACCTGTATTGTATTTTCATCCGTCTGTGCAGAATTTGTAGAGAAAAAGAAAGAAACAGTCGTAGAATTATGCACGGTGAAGAGAAAAGCAGAGATAATGAACGATCCCGTTGAGAGACGAAAGGGCAGGTAAAAATTATGCAGAGGGAGAAGGGTTTCTTTCTTTCATTCCATTTTTTTTATTCCTTCGACGGCAAGGCAGGTAGAGGAGATAGAAGGAAGATGCTAAAATTATACTTCCAAATCGTACCTCAAGAAGCAAAGCCCGACCCGACCCAACCGAAGGAAGAAGAGCAGAGAGAAGCCGTTTCTCGTCTGTGGGAACTTTTTAATAATTCAACGCGTATATTTATCTTTCATTAAAGCCCCGACGACATCCTCTCTCTCCTTGAAACACACACACACACACTAGAAAACAAAAGGGAATATCTGAAATATAGCGTAATATGTGTTCATCAACAAAAGACGATGGTGTGTGTATGTGTTTAGGAGGAACCGAACGGCGCATCATTCATTTCTATGTTATATGTAGTATATTACACCTGTGTCCATTGAGAAAGAAAAACAAAAATCACATACATACACATACGCACAAAGAGAAAATGAAAATAAAAATTAGAGATAGAAATAAAATCAGAGTCAACCTAAAAGTACTTTCCGTTGTCGATGACGTGCAAAGAGACGCCATCCGAGTGTTACACAACAACGACAACAACAACAACATCAAATAACAACAACAACAGCAAATATAACACCGAGACAACATTCATATAGTAGGTAGTAGATATATGCATATAGATATTATATAAATACAATATATGTAAGTAAAAAAGAAAAACATTTAGATAATACAACACCAAAAAGGGATAATAACAACAACAACAATAGTGTGTATACATCGACCAGTGAGGTTCAAAAAGAAAAAAGAAAATTGAGTAGGAAAATTGAGGGGTGGTTTATGGATATTTTCTTACATAACACTAACAAAAACATATGCAAAATCGAAACAAAAATGGACGAGGAGAGAGCAGCATTCGCATTTCAGAAATATATATAAATAAAGGAAAAACTTGATACATCATGGATGGTGGTGGTAGGTGGCTTTGGACAGGGGGGAAAATTTGAATTAATGACTGCGACCTACCCCACCACACGAATACCGGAAATACAAATGAAAGCGTGTATGTGAGTGTGTATGTTGATTGTTTATTGCACACGTAGAGGAAAACAAATAACGAAATTAAAGCCAAACAAAAAACATAATAATAATAAATGCCCAAATTGAATGTGAATCGATCTTCTATTCCGAGTACTTTAATCGATCGAATGAAATAATTTGTCGCTGGAAAAAGGATTATGCATTTCGTAATTTAATAATGATGAGCCGAAGCGGCTGCGAAACATGCACATTCGAAATGAATCGATCAATGAAAAAGAGAAAAACGAAAAATGAAGCAGTGTTGCCGGATATATGTGTGTGTGTGTATACTTTCTAAGTGAATTAGTTGCTGTTTTTTCCGGTTTTAAGCCAATGGAGTAAAGGAATAGCGAACGGGCGGGTGAGTTGACGTGACCCGAACGAACGCTCGAAGTTTTGGGGGCGGTGGCAGAAGCGGCAGCGGCGCCGGGTAATCGATAGCGCGATATAAACAAACAACACGCGAGGGAGGCGCGCCGAAGAGACCGAAAACGACGACGACGACGCCATCCGCCACCAGCCACCTTCCTTCCCCAATAACGCACGCAAACACAGTGTAAAATGAATGAGACGAATTGAATCGAAATGAAGGGAGGAAGTGGACTACTTTCACTCACTAATGCAAGAATAATACAGCATGCGTTGATAGTTTAAAAAACATCAGCAACAGAAAAGAAGAGGTATGATTAAAAATAAAAAGACTGGCAGAGGGGGGAGGGATATTAGAGTAGATACAGTAATCATAATGAAAGTAATGAAATAAAAATATATATAAAATTGATACAACAAACATTGAGGGATTAAGCTCAAAGTTTTGACACCAGTTCAAGCCCTAAAACATCTTCAGATGCACCACCCGCACATGCACACGAACACGACATCTATCGGCTATGTACCCATTATTATTATTAATTAATTATGTTCTTTTGTTATGTTCTTTCTTAATTAGTGAGAGCGTCAGTTACGCGCGATGCACAACAACATACAAAGCAGAGTTAGAGAGAGAGACGCACGTACACATTATATGTATATATATATATAGAGAGAGAGAGAGGGTGCAAAGAAATAGTAAGAGAGATAGAAACACATATACATATATAGAGAGAGAATGAAGAGACAGAGAGATAGAAAGAGAGAGATACACATAGATTTTTTGGGATTTTGTGGGTCATCTGAAGATGCAGAAAAGGCGTGAGAAGTTCTCATACCATTGGTAGTCTGGTAGTCTGGCCATCTTCAAGTGTAAATTGTCTTCAGTTTGTTTTCTGCAACAGACTAAGTTAGGACAGTCAATTACTAGCATCCAAGGAACAAAGTGCTTTTGTCCCAAGACGACACACACACACGGCATCATCATCATCATCATTCGTTTATCAACGCATCAATAACAACAACAACATCATCATCATGAAGTAGTAGTAGTCATTATAGTTTGCTTCTTAGAGAAGCAACGCTGTTTGTGCTATATACTCTATATATATTTGTATATGTAAACGTTGGGACGGGTTGGGTCAATCTCTCTTTTCATTTCTTTCTTTTTTAAATGTGGCTTTTATTTTGCATTTTGTCTTGAGACCAAACAACTTTGTTCCCCCTTCTTCGAGCTTGGGACACCAAGAACTCGACTGGTCCAATTTGGTATGCTACAGAAGATTCACTGGCACAAATTACTAGAAAACAACACACAAGGCACACGACGCCCCCCAAGTGCGGTACGAGACGGTACGTTGCGGTCACGGAATTGACCTTGACGTTCGTTTAATGCACTAATCATCATCATCATCGGTAATGCACGTATGTACATTTTATTATTAAACACAGCACACTATTATCATCATCATCATGATGATCGTCGGTAGTCCGTCCATAGTTCGGTTAGTTTATTAGTCTAGCAATTAGTGTGCGACCAAATTATTAGTGCATCAGTCGATATCATCTGAGAGAGAGAGAGAGAGAGAGACAGAGAGAATGTGAAGAAAAAAACGGGATCGACAATTTCATCTCTTGTTTCCGTTTTTCTTTGAATTTCGGAAAATTCGGGACAGGATGGATGCACCAGACAGGAGTAGGTTAAATAATCGAGGAAGGGCGCTAACAAAGAATAGAAACAAAAGAAAATTAGTAACCCAAAAACCCAACTAAAAAAAACCAAACCAGCACAACAAAAATGTACACAATTTATCTTTTACACCACATTGAAATAAAAAAAGTTATACGTCAAATTATTGATATACCAACTAGATTTCGCCAACTATCTGCTAAAGTATCACTAATTTTAAATATATAATAGTAGAGTATATAACAAATTGGGAAGAATCAAATGCTTCTTATATTGCCATCGAAAAATCTGATTTGTGATAATCATATTATTATAAAGATGGAGCATGATATTATACAATTTATTCCAATATGTTGCAACGAGACGATTGCAAAAATTAAGTTTTTCATTGGAATATCGTTCTGTACGACGACATCATCTCATCGCATGGAATTGAATCGAGGAGCAAACAAAGTTCGAGACGAGGATAATGTACGGACGGAGAAGACTTTCGTTATCGTCAGTTATCTCAAAAATGTCAATGTCGCAGACCTGTCAATTGTCGAGATAGGGATACGTGGTGTACGAAGAAAGAACGAAACCAACGAATAACAAATATTAGCGATAGGGAGACGGCAAAGTTCGAATCCTCTTATTATTTATAACCGCCGCCATCACCACCATCATCTTCTGTGTGTTTTGCATTCAAGATAACAACAGTTGTTATCAAACATTGATGATTGAACATCAAGGTGAATCGCGAAACACGGGGCACTCAATTCTTCATCTTCTGTTTGAAATTAGATAGGAATGAAGAGCGAGCGAGCGGGTAAGAAAGAGAGGGAGAGAGAGAGAGAGAGAGAAGTCTCTCTCCGCACGACACGTTCCATTGATTTGGAGAGCCGGGGCGCGCAAAATGGAGTAAGGTTGAAGCAACGCGACGTTGCCGGCTCTCCCTCGTGACCCCTGCGGATAAGCGCACAAGACGAGAAGAGAATTATATAAAACGAAGAAAACACGCGCAGAGTGAACAGAAATCCAAATACGCACATACGTCGCCTTCCACACTCCATCTCCTTCTTTCTTATCCCCCCGTCTATCTTTTACTCGCACGTACGTATACGTAACGTATAGAAAGCACCACAATTCCGTTATTTTCCTCTCCGCTCTCAGAATAATCTCCTCTTTCCTCTCCTCAAAGCACATCTCGCACGATCCTTCCTCTCTCGCTCGCGGATGCACGATGCAGCGCGCCTGCTGATGTATATGCTTTATTGTCATTATTATTATTATTATCGGATTGGGAAGAAAACACGAAGAAAAAGGGACTAAATGATACCAGAAGGAATCGCAAGAAAGTTGTATTGCAAAGACCAATAGATAAATTAGATGATAACAAGTGCTAATGCGTGTCTCTCTCCTAATATCTATCAATGTTACTTCTACAGATTGAATACGAAATACGCACGCAAAGAAATGGATGGAGGAGGACGTTAACAATTGTTTCTAAGACTTAGACTTGCTGTATGATCTGTTTTTCGTTTGCGTGCATTTCATTTCTATAGGAAAGAACGACACAATTCACAGTTTTCGGTCTTTCCGCTCCAATTTTCCTCATTCTATTCGTCCATTTGTTCTCGTTCGTTCATTTTCGAAATGAAGGCTGCTTGCTGCTGCTCTCTCGCTCCAATTCGCCTTTTCCGTGCCGAACGAGGAGGAGTGACGAGCGCGCAAGGAGAAGGACGAAAAGTTGTGTTGAATCGCCGCCGCAGCACAAAGATTATCATGCTCGCAAGGTTAAGAGACACCATCATACATAACGAACGCAGCAGCAGAGCACAGAGCAAGTCGATGTCGAAGCGAAAAGCCATTAAATTCCGCGTTACGTAGGCGGTACAGTTACAACTTGTTTTACGATTCCTTCCAATACACAGCTGCCTCTATTTCTTTATATTCTCTCTCTCTCTCTCTCTGGTAGAGCCACAATACACACATACATCGTTATGTGTGTGTGTGTATGTTACCGCATTGAAAATATATATATATATTTGCTGTTTTTTTTTATTCTCCTCTTTATAGCAGGAAAATAACGGAGCCGTCGAGGCCATGACATAACGCGCGTATATTTCGTTTCCAACCTCTCCGCAAAAGCGCAACGTTGCCGAATCCATCTAATTACACCTTCTCGTCGTAGCACCTTTCGAGCACGAGAAGGAAAGGAACGACGACGATCCAAGAACGTACGTGAAAGAGAGAGAGAGAAAGATCTCGAATATCGCGCGTCGTTAAATTCAATCCCGTCTTATCATGTTACACCACTAACAACAAGAAGACTCGTATTTTTCTTGGTCCGAAACCGAAGGACACTCTCGGAGCGGAAACACCGGATTCTGTTTCTCTTGGCTCTTGAATCGAAGGAAAATTGGAAAGCCAAGAAAAAAGAAAAAGTGCAACAACCTGTGACAATATGCCAAATACATGCAGCGTGTACGCGAAGAATACAAAATCCGAGAGAAATAACGAAGACACCCACGACAAAGCGCGAACTTCTTCAGAGTAAATAACAAGAACCGTGAAGTTGCAAGTGTTGAAGTTAACAAACAGTATCAACGTATTTGAACGAAGACTAAAAATGGAAAGGAAAATCGCGAAAAAAGTGGCGCAAATTGCGAAAATACATATATAAATTGAAACCATCTGCTCTTCAATTCCATCCACACAGAGACGGACGCACAGTCCTGCCGACGTTTTAGCATCTGTCACGGGCGTACACATTATTCTTGTTCTAGTTGCGTGTGTGTGTGTTTTTTTTGTTGTTGTTGTTTCTTTCAGTTGAAACGGAAACAAATGAAAGTTGCGAGCGAAGGCTGCGAAAAACGAGGAGCGGTCGTCGGGAAAAAGACCGAATCGAATCGAATCGAATATTTGATAGATACAAATGCAAAGGCAACAATCTCGCTACAATTCGCGCCAAAGACACAGACATCAACTTATTTATTATATCAGATCTGCCTGACTCTCTCTGATATTTCTTTCCCAATATTCGTTAAAATATTGCCTCGTCGTCGTCGCTTACGCAACCGACACACGCCCAAGGTTATTTTCGATATAATAAAAACATGCACGGGATCAATAGTCGCGAGACACACACTCATCGTTAACTATATGTTAAACTTCTTTGATTTGGGCAAAGAGCAAAATACAAAGATTTTTGTATTACAAGGAAAATTTACAGAAATTTATGCAACGAATTGAACTATGTACATGATTATGATTCAGACGATTCAGAACAATCGTTTCAAGAGATAACATGTAATTACATGATAATCGTGATGATTCAATTGAAACAATACGTGATACTTGGCTACTTGTCTATCGGCATGACAGAGTTATGTATACAGTACAAATCTGTACTAATAATTACTTGTTCAAGTAGAAATATTAAAACTAATCAGCGAAGCGAATTAATTGCAATCAATTGACATCGTGTCGAGATGCATCTAAAAGTGCGATAACCTTCGACAGTTCAGATACTCGTCGTGGCTATAAAGTGTAAATAAATTCGAAACGCGCATGAGGAGCAAAATAGCAATAACGATGAGGAATCATCGATCAGTCAAGACGATTATTGGATAAGACATAATTGCGTTATAATCATCAATCGGTTGTAGTTGTTTTTGTTGTTGTAGTTAACGAGAAATCGAAAGAAGAAATCAAAGCTGATATGTCTGTCTGTTGTCGCTTTTAGAAAGCTCTTCTTGGATTCTTCCTGGTCGAAGGCCGAGGACGACATTACAGATACAAGATATAATTATACGGGCCACCGAAAACATTCATACGTTTTTCTTTTCCTTTTCGGTGATGATGATGATGATCATCCGCATCGATGAAGGGAACTGGTTTAAGTGGAAACTGGTTTTCATCTCTAATCGGAGTTAAAACCGCATCAAGAACAACAACTACAACAATAATAATAATGAAGAAACGCGCTTTACGGTAATTGAGACAAATGACGTTGAAATCAAAGTTGAACGTTGGCGTCGTCGTCGCCGTCCTAGTAAGAGAAGGTGGCTATATGCTGGAGTGGAGTAGTGGGCGGCGCGGCGCTCTCGCGACACAATCAATTGTACCAACTGAGGGCGAGGGAAATCGAAATTTCCCCCAAGACGATGTCCAAATTCGCGAAACGTTTACGTGCATGGCATACGCACATGCAGAATAACAAGAGACATGCGAGAGAGAGACAGAAAGAAATTGGAAATTAATTAAAATTCTTCGGTCGATTCGCGAGCAACGCGCACTCACACACACACACCGTCGTCGCCGTCTTCTCCTACTTCTTCTTTTGCCGTTACCTAAAAATACAGAGAGCCGTGTCGTCGTCGTCTGCTGTGTGTGTGTGTACGTTACGAAACGCACGCGGAAAAGGTGAACGGACTTTTAGCTTTTGCAACAGCAATTTCTACTGGCAATTAAAGAGAAGAAATAGAAGTACAAAACGACGAGGTGAAAAAAAAATGTATAATGAATTAACAACAACAAGAAGTAAATCAAAATGAAATTATATAATTAAAGTGGAGGAGAAGATGATGATGAAGAGACGAACGAACGTGTTTTCGACAGGAGGACGACGTTATACGTAATATTAATAAACAAGAGAGAGAGCGAGTGAGCGAACGACGCTCGTCGACATAGAGAGAAGCCCTGGCTGGTTCTCTACAGAAATCAATCGAGCAAAGGGATGTAGAAGAGTGGTGAGGAGAGGCGCGCGGAGCTGGATCGTTTCTCTAAAACCATTCGAAAACCCATCTCATCCCGCCACTACTTTTCTCCAGCTTTACCAAAACCTCGCACAGTGCGACTTCGAATAATCCGGAGATTCGCTATAGCAGAACAGAGAAAAATGAAAGCGTAATAGCCTATTATTCGCACACGGTGAAGTGATTACTTATATAGATCCGGGATACTTTTAATATTTGTTTATATATTATAATAATGGTTGGACACAATATATTTTTGTTGTGCAAACATAAATTATATTTTGCAAACTATAGTCTATAGGTTATAAACAAAGATGACAAAAATAAAACCGAAAACGTCGCACGTTAAGCGTTTTTCTTACAGTTTATTTTGCTCGTTAAGCGAGGTTCCATCCACTGTATAGTATACAGAAAACAAAATTAGAATTTATAATGATTTCAAAATGATGGTGCATAGCCTCCTTCCAATTACTATCGCAACTTGTTCAGTAAATGTTAGTTGAAAAGTCAACAACTCGATCCTCATTTTTGGGATCTGTTAATGTTAAAACTTTCAATATTTTAATAGTATTTTGCCGTTGTTAAGAGGAATTTCTGGGTCTTTTTGGCAATGTGCGTAAGCATACGAATTGCAATTGCAGAGCATTGTATTATATACAGTGTACAGAATAAGGACTAAAACAGGTATTGCTGCTGCAGCTGCCAACTAGATAAAGGACAGGCGACTTTCGTAGAAAAACGCTCTTTTCTTTTTGAGGTCATCATTTTGACAGCCGTGACTTTGACAATAACTTTCAGAAGGTCAGGCGATAATTTATCACTGTGTTCGAGATACTCTCTCTCTCGTTTAAATGAGAGATGCTCTTCATTGTTAAATACTACTAACTATATGAACTGCAGTCATGCATCTCCCACGTCTTTAGCTTCAGATGACTCACGTTCGTTCAAATAACATTAAACGAAGAACAAGACGACGAGGACCGACATCAACAGCAACAATATAAAAAGAGAACCTTTTAAAGTGAAAGTTGTTCGTGGAAGTAAAAAGAACATTCGACCACTTAACAAATGGATGTATTGCAATCGTCCGCCGTTTCAATGAATTTTAGTTTTTTAGTTCGATTAGGTGATGCGAAGAAATGACAACAATGAACGTGAAAATGATAAACTTCCACTCATTATTGGATCGAATTATTATTCAGACAGAGACAGCAGCAACGAATTTCGTCGATGATGAAGGGAGAAGAAATGTAGAGTTGCTAAGCAACGGTTATTTCACGATGGTAAAAAAATTGAAGGTCTCGCAAGCTAGATGTGACAAAGAGAAGAGAAACGTTTTTCGTTTCTGGCCGTTGCCTTTTCCCTCGCGCAAATTCGCATGCGAAGGGTGCCAGGAGTAGAGGCTGCTCCCTTCGAAATATTGGGGTGAAAAGGAGACACAACGACGCGTAGTAGTGAAAGCGAAGGAAGGAAGACAGGCAGGCAGCAGCAGGGGAAAAAAAGGGGGCGAATCGTCGTCGAATAATTATAGTCAGACTGTACGTACGTACCGTACACAACAACATAACATAATGTGCACTGTATATACGTAGCGGCTGGGCAGAAGGAGGGTCGGTCGGTCGGTCTATCTGTTCCTTTCTCTCTCTCTCTCTCTCGCTCGCACCAACGTTATGCCTGTTTATATATGGGGTACACACACACAATAATAATAAGGGTTACATTTTAACAATTTCGCCCCTGCACAGAAAAACGGACAAGCAGATAAAAGAGAAGAGGAACAACGAACGAACGAACACTCACTCAATCTCTCTCTCTCTCTTTCGCACACTCACTCTTCCATCACACTCGAGCGAGGCCATACAACAAACACGTCCCTTTCCTTCGCTCTCTTTCTCTCTCTCTCTCTCTCTTGCACCCGCAGGCCAACATACACATATATTTAGTACATCCACTATACACAATACGCTCTATGCCCCGGTCGCTCGCTCGCTCGCTCGGATCGGCCGCCTCAACGAATCCAACTACTACTACCTGAACCGAAAACATTTCCATGGAATTCTCTCGCATTTTATATAACTTCTCTCTGCGAAGTCACAGAGCACTACACACAGACACACACTCATAACGCAAACGAAAATAATTATAAACATAAATTTGCCTTCACAGATTTAACAATGAAGAGAACCAAAATCTAATCTAATTATACTTATTTCGAGCTGTTGCATAAGCATGATTTCGTTTAATTAAGCGAATAAGAACTTGCATATTATATTGTCCACGGAAATATTGTAAAAGTTCGAGGAGAATGTAAAAAGCACAACACAAAGACGATGAATGATCAGTTAAGGGGGAAAAGAAATTACTTAAAAGTGCAAATGCAGCGGAATTAACATAGGGTTTTCTACACGAAGTAATAGTGAATTAATGTTGCATTATTACAGGTTTTTACAATATTCTAAATTCTAATAAATCTTTCTAAGGGAGAAAACAAGAATTAATGTAAGTGTGTGTGAGAGAGAGAGAAAGAGAGAGGTGAAATGTTTTCAGGATGGTTAGTGTAATCTGAACGACGACGAACGGCCCGAGAAACGTTTTCTCTCCGTGCATTTTCTCCTCGTCGACCAACCACAACTATATAACTCCACTATAAACACACACACACATCTGTGCATCAGAGGAGTCTCTCTCTCTTTCTCTCGTTCATATTCATAAATATTGTAGAGACGAAACGAAGAAATTGTGGATGAGAAGAATCGCCATCAATCGATTGAAAAATAACCGCTCGACTTCGGTCATATATTTAGAGAGCCGGCAACGTTGCGTAATGAGCCGACAGCGATGTTGATAGTACGCTAATAAAAGGGCCGAAGTCTGCCTGCCTTCCACGTATTTTATGGTCGTCAAAATGGACACCCAACAAACAAAAGAAATGAAAAACTCCTCGCCGACCAATAAACATTTTCAAAAACGAAACACAAATTTGAGAGTCGCATCACGATGTTTTCATATATTACAAGTGAAAAATAAAATGTATTTGTCTTGTAAAAACACGATAAATTAAAACTTAATAATGGAATACATGAAATATGGACAGAACATCGTCAAATAGTTGATATGATGATAACTTATAAAAGCAAATATTACAATAACAAGTTATTGTATTAACTACCTGATTCATGTATACTTGTTGGCTTGGCAGTGTTTTTCAGGAGAGTAGAAAGTGTTCTACACGGAACGAGAGATACGATACATGTGAACGTCGTATCAAAAACATGTCTGTTTTGTTTTTGTAAAAAAAAAACTAATAAAAGCATACATGAAATAAAAATATAAACAATATTTTTTTTTTGAATCTTCCCACTCTACACATATGCAACAACTGCAATGAAGAAGTGACAAACTTGTTCATTATAATGAGGACGCGATGCATTGACCTAATCTAGTTAGTATGTGCAATAATTTAGACGTTTTTTTTCTTTCGATCACTCATTATAGTTATATTATTATCGTCGCACGGAATTGTAAAATAATAAAATGCAAAAAAGGGGGGGCACGAGATTTGGTAGAGGAAATTGGGAAATTTTCTTCGGGAATTTGAATCTGATGACAACGTTTCCCAAACACTGCAACGACACTTTTCTGTCGGTGTTCCTCACCTTCACGAAACATACAATAAAGGGAAAAGTACCAAAAGCAAAACAAAAAATTGGGGGGAAGGATTTTAAAGAAGTCTTTTAAATCTAATGAAACTAAAAAAAAAGTGACCCTTGGTGGATGATGGGCGTAAACTTAATAATAATAATAGTATTAACGAAATTAAAGGTGAAGAGGATGGGTGGATTGGTTGATGGAGGAAAACCTAAGCACAATTGATATTAATTAATCTATCGACGGAAGTAGACAATTATATAAATATATCGTCGTCATTTAGGTGGTAATAAGTAGTAGTAATAAGTATAGAAATTTTGTAAATTACCGTTTGAAGTGTTCCCTGATGCGTTCCTCTCGAATATTATCGGGCAAATTTCCGACCCAAAGGTGCCTAGTCTCTCTGACCATTGTGCCCTTGACACCTCATTTGATATCTTTTCGCTTTGCGTCGCGCACACAAGAAACACTATGATGACGGTGTCGAGGACGCCGCCGCTGCTGCTGCTGTCGTCGACGAAGACGTGCGGATTGTTGAGGGCGAGTACGATGACGACGCCTGGGGGGTCGATGGTGCTGGTGATGCTGACGCCGTGGCACAGCGGCAACGACAATGATCGGACGAGGAGAAGCGGTAGTAACGACCTGGGGACGTAGAGATGTTGAAGATGACGGAGCGACACGCCAGCAGCCTCCTTGTCAGCGGCCGCATCGTCACGCGGGGAAACGCATCATTCAAAATCTCCGGATGATGTGTATCGACTTCTTCGTCGAAGTTCCTCCTTTTGCACTGTATAATATATATCTCCAGGTGCTGCTGCTGGTGATGATTGTAGTATTTCCTGCTCACGACGTTGCACTCTCACACTCACACGCGATTCGATTCGTCGCACACACACGCACTCACTAACGCGCGTAATTCTCGTTACGTATCCTTCTTCTCTTCCTCTAAACAAAGAACCAAAAAAAGAAAAGAAAAAAATAAAATTAAAATTATGTAGAAATCAACTAATTCTACGTGCACTGCATATAGGTGTGCATGTGTGTATGTTGAGCGCGCATAAATACATAATATACATGTAACTAAGTATAGCTAATTGCACTTTTTCATCGCGCACATTGACTGAGAGAAACGAACGTAGAGTAGAGAACGCAGAGGGGGTTGGTTGTTTAGCTTCAATAAAATAAATCACCAAATCCATTGGGCACTGAAGGTGATTGGGGGGGGGTTGGTTGGTTAAGATCGTTGGTGATGGTTAGAGTCTGTTTTGTAGTTGTTACACATAATATGATACCAACAATAGTTAACAGGAGAAAATGCTTATAACGGAAAAGAGCGCATCACACATAGATCTCGCGCACTGCACCAATTTCCTTCCTTCGTTTTGCGCGCGTGTATATGTGTGTGTGTGATTGATTCGGGAGGAAAGGAAGAATTGGGATGCGAGCGAGAAGGGGTGGTCGTTTGGATACTGTTATTCCGTGTCAATCTTCTTGGGAGATACCACCACCGATGATGAAGATTCCACAGAACGAACATTCACTACTGTTGACTGCTGCTACTGCTGCTGCTCATATTCCGTTCAGGCAACCGCACAGATGAGACAACGCACTGCACACCGAAACTATCACTATGCTCTCCGATCGCGAGGGAAGGAAATAATAATAATAATAATAGAAATTAAAACTTAATCCAGAAAAATGATACTTTGAAGCACGCAACAACAACAACAACCTACACTCCTCTCCTCGTTCGTTCCTCGACAGTTTCTAAATACACACATACACATTTGTGCATGTATTTTCATTACATTTCCAATGTAGTTACATACATACATATATAATAAATCTCTAGCTATCTCTATCTCACACATACGCACATACACACTCACTTATATATATATACGCATATACACGTACATACATACATTTATATATGCGAGATTATATATATATTTATGTATATGTATATTACTGATTTCCGTACTGGCGCTGGCTGTGTTTCTCTCTCTCTCTCTCTCTCCTCTCGTCGTTCGGTCCTTCCAACGTCGGCACGATATTTTCGTGTGCACAAACACTCGCACACACACACGCACACAATTCTCTCTCTCTCTCTCTCTCGTGGATTAGCAACAACGATGATGTTGGTGGCGCGATGGTTATTAGCGCCTCGAACGACGTCGGCCGGCAACGAGAATAATAGTAATGCTACTATTTTATTACTGTACTTATTATTACTATTAAGGTGGTAGAACGGCAGCGATCCGTCCGATTGTGTTGTGTTTGTTGTTTTTTTACTTTTCTCCCTGATTTCTTTTCCTCAAGGGGATGAAGCGGCGACGTTACGATCACTCGCGAAAACGGTACACGTCGCTGTTGTTCCTCGGTTTTGGGGGTTTTGCTTTTGCTTTTGCTGCTGGTGCTGGCACTTGGGAAAACACAGCGAGCGCATTTCACTTTAACTTCACTTCGCTCTGCACAGCGTACGACTGACTGTGCTCGGGCCGCGAACCGAAATTGGCTCCGCCTCTTCGGCCCAAGCACGAACCCGTCCGAACGACGCTCAGACGCACGATCGATCGACCGAAGAACGGGTGCGACAAGGACGGAGCTGGTCGAGCGTACGTGCGTTGCTTTGGTCGGACGGTTTCGTGTTTCATTCCACTTGGAAGTTCGGTCCGCGCTCCGCTGCTAATGCTCCGGCTACAGGCTACCGCTACTACCCGTTCCGAAAACGTTCGGTCGCCCCGATGGCAAACGTTTTATAATTTATTTCCATTTAGAAACTGCCCGACACCACACAAACACACACACAAACGCATGAACACATCCATACACACAAACACACGGCGAAACGTTGTTTGTTGTTGTCGACCCCAGCCCCAGTCAGAGCGGGCGGCGGCGGCGACCGCCACGTTGCCCAATTCTTCCTAGAAACTTACGACTCGAGGATAATAATAATAATGTTTCCTCTTCCACCTAATAACGATCGCAGTCAGTCTTTCTTACATAATTACGTTGTTTTTAGTTATTGTTGTTGCCAAAATGAATGCAATAAAAGTATTATTAATCATTAATTAACTATGCTATCGTTCCCTCAAAATGAAGAATGATTCGTCCAGGAATCGACATTAACACTACGCTTCTTCTTCTTGACAACTTAATGATAGGGAATAATAATAATAAGAAGTCCAACGGAAGCAACATACGATTCATCTGAGATTGAATGAAATGATTCGTCGCGAATTATATTACCATTATACAATCACTGCAAACTGAAACTAACTGAAACCATCATCGGGCAATTGAATGCGAAACGAGCATTAAACAAACAGGATGCGACATGCCACATTTGCAATTGTGCATTTTGTTATGAAATCATGGAAAATATCTACAATATCTGTAGCATCAACGACTGAACGGCTGGAAAAAGAATAACTCCACTCGAATCCAATATAAAGATTAATTAAAGATAGTTTAAGATGATTGACAACCTGCGATGATGCAACTTTGATGGGATGGAAACGGTGCAACGGTGTATACAATTGAATAATTGAAATAAATGAAACGAGCAAAGATGATGATGATGATGACGAGAAACGTCGTATCCTCCTCCTCTTTCTCTATGTGGTTCTGCAAACGTGAAACTCTGCGAGCTAAATTTGTTGGAATACACACTCTAGCCTCGTGGATGATACACGAATGCAATACGTGTAACGATGATTACAAAACAATGACGGCCGCTTGCGAATTTCCAAAGAGAAATTCTTAGGCGCCAACGTCCGCAATATTTTCCGCGCTCGTCGAACGAGCAAAAACCTCATCATAGTAAATGATTATTATTATGATGATGATGATGAAATTGCGAATGCATCATCCCACATAGAAAGTTTCCGGCGTTGCGCGATTTCCCGCTTATTGCCTCCTGACCACCACCACATCACCCCCCATTTCCCCTTCCCTATGAAGATTCAAGAGAGAGAGAGAGAGATGACGACCAGGTGAAACAATAGGATCGAAAACAAAGCTGAAACAATGTATGCATGTGCATGTATTTATGCTACGAAATAAGAAGAATCAAGGAGGGAAGGGGCAGAAAGGAATAACTGAATAGTTGACGAGATGAGTGGTAGAGTCGACGAGATGATGATGCTGAGGAAGGAAGAAAGAAAGAAAGAACAGAGAAGACTGTATACAACAATAAACAAGGAAACGGGAGGGGAGGTGGTGTTGTTTGTGAGAAGAACGGCTGTGGCGCGCGCGGTGGTGCGGAGGGAGACCCTCCGTTCCCTCACGAAACGAATGTTTTCAGTTTGGTCTGTACAGTTCTTAATTGAGGCCCAGGCAGAGTCCAACGTTCGGGGTGAGGCCGCATGCGAACAACTGAAACAACCGTTCGTGCCCATTCGCCGACCTCAGCTCGTCCCACTCGCACACCTCGTCGTTCCCATCATTCGATCTCACTCGAAACGAACAAAAAAAATCAAATAATAATAATAATGCTAGTGGAGACGACTACATCACATGGGAGACGATAATTTTGTGCGTATATACGAGGGAGAAAGAGAGAGGAGATAGCAAAAACACGTAGAAAGTGCGAAAAACAGAACGACAAAGACAAGAGCAAACGATATTGATCGAGTGCGGATTATTTAAAGAAACCACGAGAATCTCTTATTTTCCGTATTCCATTGCACGCGCAAACAAACTGGAATAATGCGAAGACAAGGAAAACTATCCCTCCCGTTTAATCCTTTATATATGCTTATAATTATTGTTTAATCCCATTTAAATGGCTAATCCTTATAGTCGACAGTTACAAAAGTACTACTTGGGTGCGCTACAATCTATGAGCGGTTTAGGCGAACGGAGGAAACGTGGCGACCGACCAAATCAGATGTGGATGATAAAGCGGGCCACGTCTCAAACCCCTGCCAGTCTCACTGGAACTGGCCACCGCAGAATTGTCGATCAAAAGCGCTTGCGCCCTACCATCGATTCTACCAGATCTCTATGCGTTTTCGACCGCTTTATTTTTACCAAACGAGAACTCGCGCGACCTCTACCGATCGAAATCCACGACCGACGTAGCAGCATATGCAACCCAAACGACATAAATTTACATAATAAAACTTTAGCTCAATTCATTTACCGAAAAGTACGTTGGACAAGTGTATAATTGTATAAGAGGAGTCAATTGTAATTTAAAGGATGGAAAAAGGTCGAAACTTAGCTAAACGCTACAATAAAATACAAAAGTCACCAGTCGTCAATATATTTGTCGTGTCTTTGAATGCAAAGGAGTTTGTTTGCTCTTTTCTTGTAACCCTACGATATCTTTTAAAACTTCTAATATAAAAATATATATTGTATGTATTGCCTATATTCTCTATATATTAAATAAATATATGTAAATGTGTGTATTTATATGTATATATAAATCAACGTTTATATAATTTAGTCGTTGATAAATCCTAATATTGAAAAAGCGCATTAACAGTTTGTTATGTGTCGAGTTTCTTGTATATGAATGTATAGTACAGTACGTATTAGTGTAAGTAAGGATCTCCTTCACTATTCACCTTTAAGAGCAATATCAAAAGAATCGTCAGACCAACATCTCGTCGTGCCAGTCTACCACCATAGGAAATGAGGGAAAATCGCTCGCGTAAATAAATAAAAATAAAATACTCGAATTGAAAAGAGATTGTGAGAGAGAGAGAGAAATAGGAACGAGCCAGTCCAACGCTGCCTAGTATCGCGAAAAACATTCGAAAATGTGGAGAATAGTCTAACATCATTTGGAACGCCAATCGTATCATTCGAATAATAATAATAATATGCAAGTCAGTAATGGCATGGATCGAATCACAGCAGTAAAGAAGAGGTTTAGTTACCATCATTTCCTTTTCTTCACCTTCGACCTACCGCGTTTCTTGCTCTTGTTCGAATTCTCCTTCTTGGTGCTCTTGTTGTTTTTTGGTGCCGGAATTGTGCTACCGCCGCCTGGCCTCTTCGGCACAAGCAGATGTTGCTCCACGAGCTCGGCCAGTTTTCCCTGCTCGGCAAGCATCGACAAGAACGTACAGATGAACTCGTCGTAGTTGTGAGTCCTTCTGCAATCGTCCACCTGCAGACAAACAACAAAACAATTTACATTTTCATCAGCGACACTCATCAAAGACAATAAGATGAACCTTGTACTTGTTCTGCTTGTCGTTCTCATCTTTCAGATTGATCTCGCAGATGCAAATTTCGTTTTCCAGATTCTTCAGAAGCGCCAGTAGATCCTGTGGCGCAAATGTGTGTGGCTCCAAAAGTTCGGGGTTCTTTTTCTCTGCCACCACGGTATCACCGTCGCTCGTCCTGACCCTCGCGTGAGCCGTATTCATTTTCTTGCTAGTCTCCGGTTTTTTAATCGCTAAAACATAGCAACAACAACACAATTCAGAGCTGATCAACTACATGATTCCAGTTTAGAAGCGTAACCTGTTTTATCCTCGTTTGCTACCCTTATCACCACGAAACGTTTGTAATCTTTGGAAGTGGGACTATTTTGAGCGGCAGCCCAATTCCAAGCGGCCGTTGGCGAATTGAAGGCCGACCCAATTTCGGAGGAGGTGTCGGTGCTGGAGGTACTGGGAGCCGGCGATGTCTGGATCGTCAGCGGAGTGGAATAGTCCAATGGGCATAAAGTCACCTTTTCCTTAGTATCGGCCATAGCAATGTCATCTTTGATCTCATCTTCATTAGATGCAGCAGTCACATCCATTGGTTCATCTTTCTTATCATCCTCCTCCTTCTTGACTTCCTCCTTTTCTTGGCTCTTTGCTTCAGAATGTTTAATTTTCATCAATTGCTGTAAAAGAATATTAACATGAAATATAGTCACAATTACAATATATTCAATACTCACTTGCAAAGCATCCAACACAATTTGCTTGTTAGTTTTGAGCATCTTCAATTTATGTGTGATAGCTAATCTTCTGTCTGGGACGCAGGCCATCAGATTGAATCTTATATCATGATACTGTTCTCCTGCAGTCAATCCGAGACGTTCGCTCATCACACTCCTGAACTTCTCAGTCCAATCTGCTCCCTCCGTCCATGGCCCATGATCAATGGGATAGGGCTTTAGACCATCCAGTTCAAAGAGTCTACCATTTATAGGCACAAAGCTGACAAAGTGAAAAGCCTCTCCAGTGAATCTCCCTGTCGAGACTCCGCTGCCTTTATCCAATCGCCTCTTTGCCTGTGGCATGGCATGTGAGTTGTGAGCGCAGGCCAGCTCCGGTGTGTTCCCGATGGCCCAGCCCTTGTTCTCAGGACACATGCCATGAGTGTGCTGCTTGAGGCGGCTCAGCGTGTCACCCAGGTGTATGTTGGGGCAATTCAGCAGGATCGAGATGAGGGCGTGCGTGGCGCAACTGTTCGGCACCATTTGCTGTGCGAAAAATATATTATTGACGACGTCTTCGTCGCGTACAAAGATCTCCGTCTGCTCGACGACTTTGCGACGCGATCTGCGCTCCTCGATCCATCTGAATAAGAATATAAATCCGTAAACGGGGCCGTCCAGAGGTTTGTTCAAGTCGTAAATCTCTTCGACTTGCACCCCCTTCACCCCAAAGTCTTCAAGTAAAAGTGTAAACAGACCTGGATCGCTTTCCAGCTCGAGCCACCCCTCCGTCAGCTCCTTTATATCTACCGGCATGATCTTCATCTCTTATATATCTTCTTTGCATACGCACGTACTTTACACACACGCAAATATTCGCACTTTCCTCTGCACACACCAATCCGCTCGTCCCACAACAACACACCGGATATCCGGATCTCACTAATAGGACGCAATTGTTTCTGCACAAAGCCACCCGTTTATTTGAAATAAAACCTGTTGTTGTTTATAAACAATGCAATTACCATTGACAACTGATCGCTTTTATTTGAGACGCAGACGCAGTTCCAACGGAATTCGGAAGCGGCAACTTGACACCAATAAAAATAAACTTTTCTATCAGAAAATAAAAAAAAACATTGTTCGAATTTTGTTGATTTTTGAGAACAGAACCAACGATCTTTCGTATCGGATTTTCGCGATACACACGGCTCGGGATTGCGTACATTTATTGTAGAATAGAGCGCAAATGTGTATCGCAAGTTGTCTAACTGTTCCATTGGAGAATAGGCAATTCAAAATGCACGATAATTTCAAAACAAAAACACGATCGCAAGGCACGATTCACGTAGAGAAATTTCGAATTTATTTACTTGTCTCTTTTACTCTCTTTTTTTTTTCTCTCCTGGCAGCCGTCAAAATGTTCAAGTGATGAGTACTCAGGACAACTCGGAATTTAAATTCGCTTTGCGCGACATAGCGTTGCACGCACCCAGTCTGCCGAACACCTATGGTTTGAACGAACAGAAGATCAGTTCAGCGAATAATTTGTAACCGTGATTTACGTTTTAGATCGCGTCCGATGTTCGGAGTGGGCGCGAAAGTTAGCAGGAATGCCCGACGATGACCTCGAGAGCTCGAAGACACGCAACGAGTACATACAGTTCCTTCGCATTCAGGTGCGAAACAATTTCCTGCACGGTCCGTTCCTGTATCCACCGCCGGAGAATCAACCTCTGAGCTGTCTCTCCGAGCACCTGGGAAACATGCTCTCGAAGCAGATACCGTATTTGCCGAGGACCGGACCAATAGCGCCGATGGTGCATCACCGCGCCCCCGATGGGCGGGCCTTCATCTCCGTCAAACAGATACCGGGCGGTGGCGTTCTGTGTTACATGGCCGTGAGTCCTGATGGTTTCGACTAGTGATTGAAGATAATCAAATCTATTTAATAAATACATTATGATGATGATCTTTAAACTTCATTTTAACGATAATGATGATTCGCAATTTATGGTATCATTATGGATATGCCAATTCGGATTGCTTACAGTCATTTGTGTAACAATAGTGTATTATTATTATTATTATTAATGTTATAATATTATCGTTAGTCGGAATAGTAGTATAATATGCGCTAAGGAGATATAGATTGATAGAAGTGTAAATTAATTATCTTATACTTTCTAATCAAAAAATATCAGCTCGGCCGTTTGGGCATCCTCCTGTTTGACGGCCTGAGCTTGAGGGCTGGCCGGGGGCGCTCCAGGCTGTTGCGAGTACGGCTGCTGTTGCTGCATTGGTGGATGGTGCATGGGGGGCGGTGCTTGCATGCCCGGTGGACCGGCCATATTCGGGGGAACGCCCATTGGCATTTGATTGGTTTGCGGCTGAGGCTGCTGCGGCGCTGCTTGAGGCTGTGGCTGACCCATCGACTGTTGAGGATACACTGGCGCACCGGGTGGCATCATCGCATCTTCAAATTAAAATCAACGAAAAGTTAAACGGAGAAACAAACCAATAGAAAAAGCACTTACTTGGTGGATGCTGCGGCATCGACGGTGGCGGCCCTTGCACCATCGAAGGATAACCTCCGTACGATTGCGGCGGATATTGCGGTGCGTGCACCGGCGATCCCATAGAATAGTAAGCGGGGCCCATTATGTATTGTTGCTTCTGCTGCTCCTGCCTCATCTGCATCTCGCGTTCCTGCTCCTGGATTCGTTGCAACGCCAATTGCCGTTGGTATTGCAGATATTGCTGCTTCTTCTTCCGCATTATGTCCAGCTTGTGGGCCATCATCATTTGCCGTTGTCGCTCCGCCTCCTCGGCCTGTCGTCGCAGCTTGTCGCGATGTTCCTCCCTGAGCGCGTCCAAAGCCGCCCTCGCGTCCTTCATTTGCGTCAGTTTGTCCTGCTGACGCTCGTAATACAATCGGCTGTCGTCGTATTTCTGGATGTATCTGAGGAATGAAACGGAATTTCATGTTGTACGTACGTATGCAAATTGTTATTTCCTGTTATATTATTACCCGAGCAGTTTGGAATGCATGGACGTGATGTTGAGGAACAGCGTCTCAACGCTGCTGTCGTTGGCGATGGATCGGCCGCGACTAGAGTTGCTCTTCATGCGATTGATGAATATCTCCACCTGCGATTTGAGAGTGCGCACGAACTCCTCCAGCTCGGCGTCGACGATCTCGTTGGATGGACCGAGCAACGAGACGGACGGTGCGTATCCATTCTCCCTGGTCGTCTTCTCGGTGGAGGATGCGATCGATGAAGTTGGGGCGGACGGACTCGCCGTCGTCGGGTTGACGTCGACGGTTCCTTGCTTTCCCTCCCAATACGAACGGTTCAAGTATCTCGCCAACTCGGGATTCCCACCGTCCGCATCCTGCAGATCGCTGCCGGTGGTGGTGCGGTTGCCTTCGGCTGCACTATCTGCAAATTTTACATTATCTTTTTGCCCGCTTCTATTCCATCAGCAAATCGAAATTTATTTAATACCCTTGTAATTGGAATAGTAGGCAGAGGTGCTGCGCATTTTGCTCTTCTCCTTCGCCTCCGCTTCCGATTGACTCAGTGCCAGCGCCAACTGCAACTCCTCGTCCTCCCTGATCTCCTCTTCGGTTTTTCTGGCCGGCGCCTAAATCAAAACAGTAAACCAGAGATTTAATATATCGTAATATATCGATACATGCTAGATTCTCCAAACATTCA